AGTATCAAAGACAATTCGTGCAATGCGGATGGGGCGCATGCAATGTAAATTGCAGCCAACACGCCACGCGCAGAGAGAGCCCTTTTGGCAATCCACTGCTGGGTGATAGCCCCTCCACGTAAGCCGCGGGTTTGTAAAATTAAATACAATCACCGTGAATGGTTCATGGATGTTATTGGAATTATTTTTGACGATTGCGATCTTAATCACCACTGCTTGCTCCGTACTATCATGGAGCAAGTGCGAGTTTGTAATGCTACTCTGTCCGGATTTTGGGTGTTAAAGCCCGTTCTTTGAGCGCATAAAATTCGTGAAACATTCATATTCAATTACATTTTTATTTTTTATGTATTTCAAAATGTCGGTACAAATGTTGATTTAAAATTCGGGCAAAATTACAATCAGGACCCGGTTTACAACGATCCGATTGAAACTCCAATTTTACGACGTTATACAAAGGCATCGTGGCTCGATTTACGACATAAAATAATTTACGACGCATCTTCCCACAAGACTGCGACCAAATTTGAACGGTGGTGTTTCTTCTTCGTCTTCTTCTTCAAAGATCAAGTCACTTTAGCAGAGGAAGGAAGAAGACAAGATAAGAAACAACCATTTTAAAAAATAGAAACATTGCTTTGTGGTAATTTTGGTATAAAAATGCAGTGATCAGTACTGTACACCAAACACTCTTGTCCTATGAATTTATAGCACTCGGGGACTGTTTTGTAACGTGTCATAGTGTTCAGAATGATTCATGCTTTGTATATTGATTTGACTTCAGGAACGTAACCGCCTCGCTTTTGGAGCCACCGCCAACACGAGCCAAGGACAAAAACTGCAGACAATTGGAACCTTCCTCCGTTCTGGCGTGTTTGGTCACGGCTAATATTGTGGCAAGCCCGCGTGTTGGATCTCGCGAAGCCATTACGATGTTGGCACAGAGGGCTTAGTGTCTGGATAAAGAAGGAAAATGCGCGGATACTGAGATCCATAACGAGATTTTGTAAAATTATCACGTTGTTTTTGAAATAACATGAAAATATTCCCGAATATTATTGTCTATTAGTCTCTTAATGAGAGTAGCTTAGAATTTACTCTTGCATATAAGTACCCCAAACCCTCTGCAGGACCTATGAGATGAGGGCCTGCAGGACCCGAAATCTTGTAGTTGAGCTAACGTTAGATGCACCAATACGCATATATCAATCCGTGGCTCCTTCAGCTGCTTGTGGCCCTGGGCTTTTACTTATTTTGCTAATGCCTAACGCCTCCAGTGGGATTAGATGACTTCAAGTTGATTTTTTTTTTACCAGGGGAGAAATCAAGAGACCAGGATAACACTTGTTTGCAAGATTGACCTGGAGTAATGGGGTGCCACGGTGGTGAGATGTTAACTACTTCGCGTGGTGTGCAGGAGGTCGTGTGTTTGATCTCGAACCTGACGCCTGCTGCTGCTGTATATTTGGAGTTTGCGTTTCTCTCTCCCCCTGGTCGCGGGGATTTTTCTCCAGCTCCTCACTTTTACCCTCCACATTTATAAACATGCGTCTAGGTTCTATGAGTAAATGGCTGCTTTAAATGTCCACGTGATGAGAAACATTCTTTGAGCTATCATTTGTAGCCGGGTCACTTCTGAAAAAGAGCCATATAGCTCAATGGACCATGCCTGGTAAAAATAAAGAGTTTACTTTAGTTTAATAGCGTGGGCCCCCCTATATCTACTCGGCCTTAAATTAGTACCTATTGCAGTGTGTAAACGTGAGCACTGGGGAGACAAAGGCGTCCGGGCGTGGTGTTGCCCACTGACCTCCCCGTGTGCCGTGCCAGCCTTCATAGGTGCTTGCTAACATCACTTATCCCAACAGTCTGTCAATGGCTATACAGGGGATCCTTGGAAGGCTTATATAAACCAGATACAGACACGACGGTACGAAAGTAATGCATGCAGCATTGTATCTCCTGAAGCTTATATAAAGCGAAGCGCGAATACACGCATCATCTATGACTTACGTGATACTATTACCTGTCTGGGCAGATATTGCGTTGGCACTCGCACATAACGCGCATAATTATACACGCAAGGAATCTGTCAGAACCATCACAATATTCCGTTCGCTGTTTGGGTTGTGAGTAATAGTAATAATGAGGGGTGTGTTCCACCATCAAAATAAAAGACGTTTTAAGCCCATCAGCGCAGATAGTCCTTTGTGAAGCAATGCTTTCCAACAGCATATTTTAAAGCAGGATAAACTCTAGTATGGGCTTCCACTTTCTAATTATCATCATCTTTTAATGTATATATATCTCTACCAATATGTATGTTGAACTTCTTTCGCGCCGTACGTAGCCAACCGTGTTAATCGGAAGGACAAGAAACTAAACATGAACACAGTTTTAAGAAAATGAGTTTCCAAACTCGATTTAAAAGTGCATAGCTCCAGCGGCTTCCTAATATCAGAAGGAAGAACGTTCCAGACGGCCGCAGAAGCGCATCTGAAAGCGCGCGATGCGGTGACCGTCTTTGTTCGATGGCCAGCAGCCAAAAGCCGCTGCGAGGGTGACCAGAGTTCACGTGATGATGGTTCATGCTCCTTGACGAGTTCAGCAAGGTATTGTGGTTCATTTGTGGCGAGCACTTTGTGTGTAATGAGCGCGACCTTATAATGTATTCGTTCAGCAACCGGAAGCCGTTGCAGCTCGGTGAGCACTGGACGTCACGACACGTGCTAAAGAATGCTGTACACGCACGCTAATGTTTTTGCCAGACGTCCCGTAGAGTAGTGAGTTCCAATAATCGAGCCTTGTTGATACAATTCCATCTGCCACCGTCTGCCACCGTGTTGGTTATGTCATGACTCAATAGTGGCCGGACGTGTTGTAGAGCCCTGACTCTAATTGCAGGACCTGACTATATGTGAGGCCCATTCAGCTTAGTACAGCAACATTATACGAACTCGCAAGTCTTGAACCACGACACACCACGGGAAGGGGAGTAGAGGCAAGGATTTACTGGAATGAATGGAATAAGAACATCGAAACGGAAAGGGAGGAGAGAAGATGTATAATTGGAAATGAGAGGAAATCGTTGAAAAGGAATAAAAAGACGGGAGCATAGGGCCAGGGAAGATGACAGAGAGGAAGAGACCGTACAGAGCAGCGTCGGTTTTCACATGGGGCGGCGAGGGATTCAGAGTGGGGGGTGGCCACACAGACGTCACGTGACTTCCGGGAGGCTTGAGCTGATGTAGATATAGAGACAGATGATATTTTGTTGTTTCATAGACCGCCCTTGGTTACGCTGGGGCGCCTCGGAGCGCTCTACAAGCGATAAGCAACTCCCATCGCATCTCATCTCGAGACATTTGAAAGGGCACCCCCGGTGGTAGTTGTTTCTCTGGGTGCAAGGTGACTCTGCGCCTGGCCTGCAAGCGGACATTACTCTGCCAGTAGGGGGCGATGATTGCTATTTGTAATTACAATTTAGTAGTTTGTCGGTACATTTTCAAATTTGGACCAAGATGCAGGCACACAATTGGCTGCTTGAGCGCCATGTTAGCGAGATGTTAACTACCTCGTCGGTTCGATCCCGACCCTGACGCCTGGTCTATATTTGGAGTTTGCGTGTCTTTCTCTCTCCCCATGGTCGCCTGTTTTTTTTTCTTCTGGGTCCTCCGGTTTATCCCTTCACATTTAGAAACGCGCGTTTAGAGTATTTGGCTGCTGCTATCAATGTCCACGTGATACGCCACTTGGTTGAGCTCTCATTTGTGATAGCCAGGTCGCTTCTGAAACTATATAGCTCAGTGGGACTTATCTGTTAAAATAAAAAGTCTAATAGTTTTAGTTTAATTTACTTGTTTTTAATTACATCAGGGGATCTTTAAAATCCCCTGTGACCCTGAGGGCGGGCGCGGAGTGTTATTTTATGGTTAATAAACTCGCAGTTATGACCAGGGCAGCCTTCCAGATGCGGGCAACCAGAAGGGATTGAGATATCACACGCCAATGATGTTGGCCGTGCTCGGGAATCAATCTCCATCAAGCCTATCGGATTCATTGAGCAGTGCGGGAACCACTCACTGCACCACCACTCAAACCTCCCGCAGAGGGAAAAAACTAAACCAAACAGTGGTAAACATTTGTCTTGTGGTCTGTAGAAGCGTAAGCAATGTTTTAAACCCGACTACTGAATCAACTAAAACCAACACCGGCAATGAGCCACAAAGCCACGGCGAAGCACACCTCCCAGCCTCCCAGCCCTGCAGCTTGAGCTTGTTTAATGGGGAGGAGGGCATACAACTCAGCGTGGAGAGAGGGTGCACAACAGCAGTCCCATTGTGAAGAAACGCGAAAGACGGTTATGGAATCGCGCGCTTTCAGATGCGCTTCTGGGACCGTCTGGCACGCTCTTCTTTGGAAGCCATTGAAAACTCATTTCTTTATAACTGCTTTGCGTGTTTAGTTTGTTCTCCTTTCCCCGCAACTCCGATTAACACGGTTGGCTACGTACGGCGCGAAAGAAGGCCAACATACAAACAGAGCAAGCGGCGATGTAAACTACTAAAAATAAATATTTGACCAGGTACAGCCCACTGAGCTATGTAGATCTTTTTCTGCAGTGACCTGGCCGCAAATGATAGCTCAGGGGTCGGCAAACAAAATAAAAGGAAGAGCATTTTTTTCGAATTCGGTAAAAAAAAAAAACCTCAATATGTCAAGAGCAGCAATGCGCGTGATGATGAATACGAGACGGAGGCCCTCAAAAAATGACGTCACGAGGCAGTCCTTTAAAGAGTCGCACGCGGCTCCGGAGCCGAGGGTTGCCGACCCCCGTGATAGGGCAACGAAGATGGCTTATCTCGTGGAAATGTAGAGCCGGTGTCCGCGTGTGGCACAACGTGGCGCGAGGCCGTACCGGTGCTTATCGATGAGCCCGGATCCGGCCCGAGCAGCACGCGTCCTGTGCGGTGGGGGAGGCGGGGGGGAGGTGGTGGAGGAGGAGGCTCCGTGGGTGGGAGGTGACGCGACTTGGTGGATATGAGCACCCGGCTCGCTCATGCGTCCCACCAAGCGTGAGATTCTCTCCCTCTCAGCCCACGCGCCTGATTGACAGATTAAATAACAGCCATGTCCAGGTAAGTCTGGTTGTGCACCGCTTGGCCGTGTTTTAACGCTGTGGTGTTATTATACCGTGTGTTGGCGTTGTCCATCCACGCCTTGGGTGTGATTTCAAAGTACAATTGAATTCTGTATTATAGGAAAAACTAAATATGTCTGGCCTAAGATAGTATAAGACGTATGTAAAGCGTATTGTTGTGCCTACTGCCGTTAAAATGTAACTCAAATGAACCATTCATTAATATACAAAACTAACTTCTGATTTTGCCCTAACGTGTTCATGGCACAGGGAGGGTAATCTCGACAGTAAGCAGGTGGAGGGAGCACGTTAACTCTTTCGGCAGCGGTGTTAAGAGTAGATGGAAGATGTGTCATAGAGATAAACACAAGCACAACACTGCCAAATGATATGTTTCACAACATGGGATGTAATAATTGAAAAATAGGAAATTATTCAAAACAATGAGACTTAGAATACTGCATTGTTAGATGCCCTGGTCTGTTCTGTATGGGTGTAAAAACCGGATATTACAAACACCCTCTAGAGCAAACTACAGCAACACAAACCTGTATTTTTTATAGAAAGATGTAAAAAGTTCAATGCGCAAACAAGATAAGTACCAAACATGTTTTATGGATAACACGAACAAACATAAAATTAGACTAAACATTATTTTATTTTACAAGCTAAGGCTGACTGATCTTTATTGCTCTGTTTCAAAAGCGGCCTGGCCACGAATATTAGCCCAACGAAGTGTCTTATAATGTGCAAATTTCTTGCAGGCAAATACTTAAAACGCGTGATGCTCATTCTAAATGTGAAGGGAGAACCCCGAAAAAAATTAACGCGATCTCGGGGAGAAAGAGCCATGGAAACTCCAAAAATACAACAGGCGTCAGGGTCGGGAACGAACCCACGATCTCCTGTATACCAGGCGAGGTAGTTAACATCTCCTAGCCACCGTGGCGCCCATTGACGGAGACGTTTCTGAGTTTTTGTACATAAGGAGAGTTAGACAATGGTCTCAGGATGATTTTACCCTCACAATTGCAGGTGTCGAGAGTAACTGTACGTAGGTACATATTTACTTTTTTGTTCTTTCGCACCGTACGTAGCCAAGCGTCTTTAGTGCGGGGGGAAGGACAACAAACTAAACACAAAAAGCAATTCGAAAGAAATTAGTTTTCAATATACACTTAAAAGTGCATAGCTGGTCCAGTGGCTTCCTAAAATTGGAAGGAAGAGCGTTCCAGGTGGCCGCAGAAGCGCATTGGAAAGCGTGCGATGTGGTGACCGTCTTTGTTTGATGACCAGCCATAATCACCAGTGTGCAGAGCGTAATCAACAATTAACACGTGTGCATATGTGTCTGTGTGGGTATCGAATCTCATAATACTCATCAAATTAATCAGATTCACCTCTTTATTAATCCACCGCTGGATAAGATTCCACAAGCCATGTCGGCCATGGAGAGTATATGACCGTACTTCACCACGCTGGTCAGTGCGGGGATGGCAAAAGTGCGGTGCGAATGATGGGAGAGCAGGGCTGTGTCAACAGAACACTTGCCACTAATGTTCGCCATGGCTCAGGTGTCTGGGTTCACCATGTAGCGCAGTAGCAGCGCGCTAACCACTGCACAATATCCTGCATGACGCAGGGATCGGCAACCAGCGGGCTCCGGACCTGCATGCGTCTCGTCAAGGACTGCTTCGTGACGTTATTTATTAAATGACCTCAGATTGGCGTGGTTTTTCGCACCTCCGGATTAGCGCGGTTGGCTACGTACGGTGCGAAAAAAAGTTCAACACAATACGTACAAGGACTACCGTCTCGTATTCACCACACGGTGCACTGCGGGTCTGGAAATATTGGGGGGCCTTTTTTTACCAAATTTAAAAAAAAACATGTATCTCTTATTTTGATTGCCGGAGTCCGTGGTTTAACGCAGCAACAACAAGAACAGCACGGGCCAGACCAGGGGCTGTGTGTGGCTCAGTTGAGCGGCCGTTTGACTGCGATGCTATTATTAGCACGAGAGAGATGGAGAATGAGGCGACGCGCCCCTTACGTTGTCCTCGCTAATTGCGTTACAGGAGTGGGGGGGCAGGGGACAGGAAGGCAGCAGCAGCAGCAGCTGGTGGTGGTGCTGGTGGTGGTGGTGCCTCTGCGTGCGTGAAGCGGCGTCGTTGGTCTGCGAGCCGCACTTAAAAAAACACGCGAGAGGCGAAATTGAGTTTTATTTTCGCTTCACGGGGAGTTATGATGGGATGGGGCAGTTCGGGCCCCTGGTATATCAAACAAGCGTGTCCTCGACTTGTCCGTAACGCAGTCGCTTTAGCCAAAAATAACCACACAAAAAAACAAGAAGAGCAATTTTTTTTAAAAAAATTGCTAAATAAAAACAACGCAATGTTTCGAGAGCCGCAATGCACTCGTGGTGAATACGAGACGGCGATGGTCCTTAATGAATGACGTCACGACGCAGCAGTCCTTCAAGAGCCGCACGCGGCCCCGGAGCCGCAGGATCCCGACCGCCGCCTGAGCCCCACCAATGGCGCCGCCACTTAAGAGAGCGAGATGTGGCGAACGGCTGTGCTTTTCAAGGACACTGAAAGATAACTTGCGCAATATCTCTCGATGCAAATCAGATCAAGCCTCCCGGAAATCACCAGCCAGCCCCACTCTGAATCCCTCCCCTCTCATCTATACATTGCTATATCTCAGCTCAAGCCCCCTGTAAACCACGTGACTTGTGTGTGTGTCGAGCCACACTCTGAATCCCTCCTCTCTCATTTATACATCGTTCTCTAAATCAGCACAAGCTTCCTGTAAATCACGTGACTTGTGTGTGTGTGGCCAGCCCGACTCTGAATCCCTCCCCTCTCATCTATACATTGCTATATCTCAGCTCAAGCCTCCTGTAAACCACGTGACTTGTGTGTGTGTGGCCAGCCCCAGCGTGAATCCCTCCTCTCTCATCTATACATCGTTTTCTAAATCAGCTCAAGCCTCCTGTAAACCACGTGACTTGTGTGTGTGGCCAGCCCCACTCTGAATCCCTCGCCCCTCCCCGCGACTTTGTGCAGCAGCGTCAGAGGCCCTCATGTGGCCTCTTCCTCCCCATCCTCACCTCACCTGGCCCTGTGTTCATATTTTTTGTTCCTTTTCCATCTTTCCCTTTTCCGTTACTTGTTTATTTTCCCACACGTTGCATCCTTGACGCTCCTGTTTACGAGTACTTGTTTGTTTAATTTTACCAGGTAAGGCCCATTGACCTATGCAGCTCTTTTTCAGAAGCGACACGGCCACAAAATAATATCTCAACGAAGTGGCTTATCACGTGGAAATGTATATCAGCCAGATACTACGCATGCTTCTAAATGTGGAGGGCAAAATCGGAGGACCCGGAGAGAAATCCACGCGACCACATGAAGACAGACATGCAAACCCTAAATATACAGCAGCAGCTGTCAGGGTCGAGATCGAAAACACGACCACCTTTATACCAGGCCAGGTCGTTAATATCTCGACCACCGTGGCGTGATGGTGCCTCGGGTACAAAGTTGTTGCTGTTAGAGGTAGAAAGGAAGTGTAATCTTATTGCAAAACTCATCACACAAAGTGTGCATCGAGTTCTACCTCTGTCGAGGAGTATTGTGAGTAACCAATGAGGGGGCGAACAGACGGAGGCGCGAGTTGACGCTCAAGGATGACGTCACGTTCTCACTCTACCTGCCCACGTGGTGCCGTCCGCCCAGCGGGGTGCCAGCTTTTAAACAAGGGGCGACCTCACCTGAGCAACTGTCGCTCAGGACCATGGGAAGTTGTATAATCTCTCACCAATGACAGCTCACGTCCGCGTGCAATCATTCGGTTTTCATCAGACAAGCCCACGTAGTGATATGCCGACGTGCGTTAACCATAGGCAAACAGGTACACGTATTCATCTTCTTTGGTTCTTTCGGTAAAGTCACGTAGAATGAGAATAAAATAATAAATTGATAAAATAAAATGACACAATAATATTCTCACGACGTTTCGGCCACAACACAAGCGGCCTTCATCAGGTGAAGGGACGAGACTGTCTGGTTGGAAAGAACCAAAGAAGATGAATCATTGCAGTCACGAAAGCTTTAAATCGAAAAGGTACATGTATTATTTGGGTGGCTGAAATATTTATGGCTGTTGAAGTGTTTTACCATGAAATATACGAAAATAAATGTAACGTGATTTTGATGTATTAATAATTGCATTTAAAGATAACATTCGAAAACGAGTGAGTGCCAAGGTTTCCACAAGCAGAGCAAGTTGTAAGACTAACAGACCTGGGGTCACAGGTTCACCAATCGCTTCAGTCTGCCACGCACGCTTGCAGTGGGTGACGTTCACTCTCTTTCCAAGTCTGACATTGAGAGGTTTTTTTTTGGACACTATACGCCGCATTTGAATGCCAGAGCTGGTGATGAATAGATTTCAGTGGCCTTAGCCCTGTTGGCCCTGGAACCCACCGCATATCCGCGTGACGTGTGTCGGGTTATTATGGCGCTTGCGCCCAGCTTCTCTCGTCAAGACACCATCGTGTGATGTCCATCCGTAATACAAGCCTGGAGAATGGAAAAAAGAATAGGTGTTATCCTTTATGGCAATAAAACAGGTGTTAAGATCTTCAAACACCAAATAGATACCTTTTTGCAAGGAATCAAGTCTGCACGAACCACACGTACTTGTGGTGAACATGCAAAAAACATGCTCTGATATAATATTCGCATTGTCTTTGAAACTGATTAGCCAACACAAGAGACAGCTTTCATTATGGCCTAGTCTCACCAGTGTCAGGCCAGAGAATGCCAAATGGTGAACAATACGAAGACAATGCATGTAGAGCTCGGGGTGAGTAGCTATGTCATGGGCTTTTTTGTCAGTATCTAAGTATGAAACATCAGAATCGGTTTAACCCTTTCCGGCAATACACCAGGTGGTGTCAAGATGGAAGTCTGATTTCTCTCCGGCAGG